GGGCATGTGCTGGTCCCCAGAGAGACCGCGGGGCGTGGCCACCCGGCTCCCGCGAGCGCTCAATTAGCCTAGTTTATCTATACATAATACAACAATACTTACAGTGGGATCGTTTGTTTTTATTTTCTTTCCTCTTGCAAAACAAAGCCATTAATTCCTTCCGGTTTTGTAAAATCCAGTCACTCTCCAGGAGCTGCCTGCGCTTTGGAAATAGTCCAGGTCAAGGAGGAACTGCAAACGAGCCCCCCCCCCCCCCCAGACAGTAAGGTTCCGTTTGCAAGAGCCGTATGGAGAGACCGGAGCGTTGGTGTGAGCGATTAAAACGTGAGGGAAACACACTTAGATTACTTTATGTGCTCTGAATAGTGTGCGGGATATCCCACAAATGCCCTGTAGATCAAGGATAAATAGGGTTTGGCATTTTAAGACTTGGCATTTTAGAAGTAGGTTATGCTAACTGGAGGGCACATGACTCTTGTTTTGTTTCATAAATACCATTGGAAAGAGTAGACAATTTATGCTGTGTGGATAGAAAAGAGAGACTATTGGAGAATTCCTTGGCCAAGACTGGCAATTTAACCTTTTCCTAGTCCATACCTGCATAGTCATTCCAGCTGCGGCATCGCTAGGGCTGAAGCCTGGTCACTGCGGCTGAACGTGCAGACCTCAGTCTGCAGTCTGTCATCTTTGTGTCTCTTTGGGGCGGGGGGAGACTGTCTGAAATGGTTATTAAACCTGGCAGCTGCGTTGGCGGCACCCAAGGAGCATTTTGAGCGAGCTTGCAGAAAATGAGAAGCTTTCAGCTGGCCACTGGCTTGTCCCTTCCAGCTGCCTGAAAGGCCGCTCGACGAGCATTTTAGCTTCTCTTTAGCAGTAGCGGGGGGAGTGCGCGCACACCGCAAACACAATTGGAAACGTGAGTATTTCTGGCCTCCGGGCTGCTCTGTCGCTGCTCAGTTGGGCTTCCAGCCGGATAGCCAGGACGCCAAGGCGAGGCTGGGACGCGGGCCAAGGCTGTAGGAGGACCCAAGGGCGCACGGCCACTGCGGCGTCAGGGTCGGGGGTGGGAGTGCGCCCGCACTGAGTGAAGGCGGACACCCACAGCTGTAGGAGATGGCTGGAGCACCAGGCTTCCTTTCGGCTTGGGCGAGAGGCTAGCGCGCGGCTCGGGCACTAGTCCTCTGCTTTCCGGGACAGAGACACAAAGAACTTCTGGCCTGAGTAGCCATGGTAGACAGTCCTGCCCCCAATCCTTAAGGTCTTTTTTTGAGAAAAGGGAGAAACCATATTTTACAATGAATCTCGAAACAATGAGATTAGGCTGGTTTTTCCTGCCTGTAGGTATCTTTGTGTGCTGCGCAGTGACTGCTACGGTGCGTCCTGCAGGGACCCGGGCGTAGCTGCTCCGCCAGGAACGCGGTCTGAGTCCTAGACGGGTTGGCTTTGATTTTTCAGAGCCTAACCGCCTTCAGGCACTCGCAGCTCTGCTTGCTCGCTCCTTTGCTTCTCCTCCTCTCACACTGTACTCTAAGAGGGCAGACATTTTATGGAGGCCAGGAGTAAAGCGAAAAGACTTCAGTGCTCTCATTTCTTTCCTTAGTTGTTGTTGTTTGCCGTCGAGTCGGCCCCGACTCATAGCGACCCCTCCTTGGGTTTCCTAGGCAGTATCACTACGGAAGTAGGATTGCCCAACCTTCCTTCCGAGGAGTGGCTGGTGGGTTTGAACCGCCAGCCTTCTGGTTAGCAGTCAAGTGCCTTAGCCACTATGCTACCAGAGCTCCTTCTTTCCTTAGTAGAGTGTGAATATTCCTGAAAGTAAGGGGCATGGTTCCACACACACACACACACACACACACATAAACACACACGCTATTGACTGCTAGATGGAATCTTGAAGTTCAACTTAGTTTTTATATTTATTTCTGGACAGGATTTACAGATTCACATTTCCATCATGCACAACTCTTTCTGCGGTTTAAGTATTTCTTAAAGGAACTTGGCTTTTCCTAGGAGTTTCAAGAGCGTTTAACAGCATCATGTGGCTCCAGAATGTCATGTTCGATGTTTTGTGCTCATTTCCGGGTTGGTCTGACTCGGGCCGAATGTATGATGCAGAGGAAACCAGCTCTACTTTTAACTGATATAAAGCCAAACTCTGGCAATCTCTATGGCACTGTCTCTAGATTTGGTGTTTGGTCTCCAGCACCAGGGACTAATGGTCATCTTTTTCCCTAAAAGTGCCGACTGGAGCCTGGGCTCATCTAGTGTTGGGAAGTTGCTTAAACTTTTGAGGCCTCAGTTTCCTCATCCATAAAATGGGTATAATATAGTAAAATAGAGCTGGACTATGAATTGTGCTGCTCTTCCAGACCCATCTGCCACTGAGCAGCTTTTCTGTTATAACCTGACATTTTAGGACTGGCTTAATGAGCAAATAGTGAAGAAATGAAAAAGACAAAAATTAAAAAGTAACAACTGTCAAATGCACCATCAAATTGTAGCTTAGAAATTGAAGAACCAAAAGTATTCTATTAAAAAAAACACCTCACTGTGGAGTGGATTCCAACTCATAGTGAGTCGGGTTTCTAACTCAAATCTGGCAACACTGGCCAACATACTGCTGTAGATTTGGGTTTCCCAGGCGGTAAATCTTTACGGAAGTAGATTCCCCAGTCTTCCTTCCACACAGTGGCTGGTGGGTTTGAACCGCCAACTTTCTCGTTAGTAGTCAAATGCCTTAGGCACTACACCATGCGCATATCAGTTGATGGTGGTAGAGAAAGAGTGATGTCCCTTTGACCCCAAAATGGTGTTGATATTCAGCGCTTTAATTTGCCCCAACTCTTAGTTTTCCACCCTGGAATGTGGTTTCTCAGAATTTGGCAAATATGTTCCTTCTATGTGCACTGTCGCAGGCTCATGGTAGATGTCTCTGTTGTCCAGTTTAGGACGCCAGAGGGTCATGTTGCCTGGCTGGCTGGGCTGGGAAGCATGTGATCTGTGAGGAAGCTGCCTCTCAAGGCCATTTACAAAATCATACCAGATTATGATTAATCTTTTTAAAATGTGTGAAAAGAAGTTAATGTGATTCTGAGATATTAAGTATGACAAAATAGAACCAGATATAAATTCTTGTATTAAATTCTATTCTAGTAAAATAATGGTTAGGGTACTGTTTCTGGTCTTGACCCCTGTACTTTAAAAAGATTGTGGAGACAGATTTGGGACTTGCTAGCTTCTACAATTGTGTGGGTCATTTCCTTGAGAAAAATTTCTTTCTCCTGTAGATTTGCTTCTCTAGAGAATCCAGCCTAAGAAAGTGCCCTTTTTTAACCAATCCCTTAGCCTCACCACTAGCTCTTGAAAATGAGTGATTTGCTGTTACTGTAGTTTTGCCTTTTCTAGAATTTCATTTAAATGGCATTGTACTGCATATACTATTTGTTTTCTTGTTTATTCACTGAATACAATGATTTTGAGATTGAAGTGTGATGTTATATGTATCAGTAGTTTATTCCTGTTCATTCTGTTCATTGCAGAGTAGAATTCCTATGTGGTATACATACCACAATTTGTTTATCTATTGATGGATATTTTGATGGTTTCCAGTTTGGGGATTTTAAAGTCTTTGAGAACAACAACAACAATAAAGAATGTGGAGAAATTGGAGAGGGGGGGAGGGATTCATAATGGGGCAACCAAAATAACTTAATGAAGCAGGAAAGGGAGAGGCCAAAAATCTGAGGCTGTTTTAGGGGAAAAAAAATAAGGGGCAACTTAGTTAATGTTGGAGGAACTCTGGTGGAACACTGGTTAAACTCTCAGCTGCTAACTGAAAGGTTGGCAGCCAGCCACTCTGAGGGAGAAAGATGTGACAGTCTGCTTCTGTAATGATTACAGGCTTGGAAACCATATGGGACATTTCTACTTTGTCTTACAGGGTTGCTGTGAGTCAGAATTGACTCAACAACAACAGTTTTCTTTTCTTTTTTTTTTTATTTTCTGTCAAATGTGGGAGGTGTTGAGGAGGATGGAGTCAGAGAAAATATTTGAGCAGATTTTGATTGGCTATAATGATGAACTTCTAAAACAGTGACATAGTGAAATGAATTCCTGAGGAGCTTCAAGAAAAGAATAACTTATCATCTGCCCTTCATGGCCTAGTCCAGCCATTCTTTACCCTGGCTATACATTAAAAATACCTGTAAGGAGCTCTGGTGGTGTAGTGGTTCAAACCTACTAGCCACTCCACGGAAGAAAGATGAGGCAGTCTGCTTTTGTCAAGATTTACAGCCTTGGAAACCCATTGACAGTTGCTATAGTTTGCAGTCACCTCGATGGCAGTAAGTTTGGTTTGGTTTGAGAGTCATTGCTGGGTGCTGTTGAGTCATTTCTGACTCAGGGCAACCCCATGTGTTACAGAGTAGAACTGCTCCATCAGGTTTTCTAGGCTATAATCTTTACAGAAGCAGATTGACGGAGCTTTCTCCCACAGAGCCACTAGGTGGATTGGAACCGTTGACCATTGGGTTAGGAGGGCCATGGATACACAGGGGGCCCTCTGTACTCATGCGGTCTGCATGCATGGAAATGGCCAACATTGAAAATATTAATAATAATAATAATAATAATGTTCAAAGCAATCCCTCAAAAGCTAAGAAGGAGCATGGAATGCTATTTACGTAGCATTTACATTGCATTGGATACTATATGTAATCTGGAGATGATTTAAAATATAACGAAGGATGTGCATAGGTTATATGCAAATAACAAGGAAGGACTATACTTAGCTATTGTGCCACCAGGACTTCTTTAGCATCATCTGGAGACTAAAATGTTTCTAAGGCCTGAGCTCCACCTCACGTCCAGATTCTGATTTAACTGGTTGCAGTCCAGGCATGGATATTTTGTCAGAACTCTCTAGGTGAAATACTAGGTAGAGAAGCGCTGGTCTGCACCTAAGATGGCCATGTGTGTTGCTGGAGGGACCAGACAGGAAGCATGGCAGAGGGAGGCTGGAGGATGACACTGTGACTTGCAGAGCAGGTGCCTTAACCAGGGAGGGCAGCCATTATCCACACATGGATGTTGACCAGCTTTGGCAGATCCAATTTATCAAGAGAATCTGGAAACCTAGTTTTTAGTTTATTAGTATAAAATCTCCACACATTCACAGGTTGGCAACTAATTAAGAGTGAAACATTTTAAAGTATACATGCTTGCCAAACAAAATGCACTTGCTGAATTGGGCCCACAAGCAGATTAGGCCACCTCAGCTGCATAGAAGTTTGCCTTTGTTGGGAGAGGGGCTGGACTAGGGGCTCTCCCAGGTCCTCCTCTAAATTTAGTTTTATTATGTTTCGCTTTCTTTTTTAACTTGAAGGGACATTTCTTAGCTTCATTCTTCTCTCTGAAGGCAATGTTTTCCTGGCTGGATGTCAGCTTCTCTGTAGATCTCTCTGAATTATTTGAATGAAGGAAAATGCTCTCTAATTCCTTAACCTTCTCCTGACTGTTATTTAAAGAGGCTGGCCCCTGCAGATTGCAATGATAACCCTGGGCACCTAAAGCAGGTGCTAACCACTTTGCTCCCTTTTCCTATATCTGCCTCCTCTGGCTGTGGAGATGCAGTGAGTGGGGCCTGGGAGGCTTGATCCATTCTGTGGGAAGCCTGGGAACTGGCCTGAAGCTGTCTCCTGGTGTCCTGTCTCTAGGTATGGGAGAAAACAAAAACAAAACACATGGATTGCCCATGCATATAAACAGCACTGATGTTGAAGCATCATCTTTACAAGAGAAATTAAAAAATTTCCCAGTTCACACATGTCTTAAATTTCCCTAAGCCGTACAAGCAATGGAAAATAGTGATGTCTCTGTTAGCGAAGAGGAGACATTCAGCACCACTTTTGCCAGGGA